GTATTTTTGAATTGAATTGAATTTCTATATGATTCTAATAAACACAATTTCATTATAAAGTTGTGATTTTTCTTTTAAACAATAATATATATGTCCTCTCAAACCAGCCAGTCAAAGCAGATGGTCACTTGTCCTGAGCCTGCTTCTACTGGAGGTTTCTTCCTTTTAAAAAGGGAGTTTTTCTTTTCCACTGTTGCCACTGTGCTTGTTCTGGATGGGAGACTGCAACGAAGGCAAGATTCAACTTGTCTGCTGGATTCCTTAGATAGAGAACTTTACTAATTGGCTTTTATGTGAATGTTCCTGTAAAGTGCCCTGAGACAACTTTGTTGTGATTTGGCGCTTTATAAATAAACTGAATTTAATTGAATTAATCAGGTGGTTTATTAGTTGCAAAATAGTGTTTATGTAGAAGTGGCTGCAAATTCCCTGGGCCCATGAACACACCATTTCCCCTAGGGGTTGAACGACTACATAATTTTTAAATTTGACATTAACGTAATAAAACTTGAGTAGAACTCGAGTACTTGATGACGTCATAGGATCTCAAGATGCAAAAATAAATAAATAAATAAAACCGCAAAAAAGGTCATTATTTACAAAAAAAGACCCAACAAAACATTGGGAGAGTATATTATGCTCCTACCATTTATCATACTGTAAATAAGTCACAGGAAAACTAAAACTATTAGTTATTATTATTAAGCTACAAAAGTTAAAGAAACGTGCTGCATGTCAAAAACAAAAGTAAAAACAGTAGGACGGTCGACCACCCCGCACCACCGCCAGCTGTGGCGCGCATTAGGTTTAGTTTTAGTAATTAATATGTTTATAGGTTTTTTAATAGATTTATAGATTAATATTTTTTGGTTTTTGTTTGTGAAACAAGGTCAGTAACAGCGACGTAATAACGTCACCACGAATACTCGACGTGAAATTTAAAAACTCAATAGATGTCCTAGGAATCGATGTGTCGATTACTCGAGTAGTCTGTTAAACCCTAGTTTCCCCACCTACCTGAGAGAACTGGATTGAAAAGTAGCGCAGCTTCTTCTGCAGAAAGGTAAATTTTAAACTCCGATAAAGTTGTTAAATCTGAACAACAGCATTACCCTGTCTGAAGTTTATATGGACTGAGTTTTTACAAGATATGTTTCAGTGTGTGTGCAAGGAATCCTTGATAAAATCAGCTTTGTTAGAAAAAGTAAAACACTCAGTAACAAGTCATGCACAATTTATATCTTGTTAGGATTATTTACTGAGCCCAACTGGTCTTAAACAAGTAACTGAACCAAAGACAACTCACATAGCAACAACATTAATCACAAAATTAATTCAGACTTTATTTAGGCAAGTAAATCCCATTGAGCCTCGAGGACTCATTTACAAGAGAGACCTGATTTCAACAAAGAATGATGAAAACAATGGACAACAGTGACAAAAATAAACAGTTATAAAAAGGCATACAGATTTTTTTTTAAACAAAAAAAAACATGTCATACTGCATAGAGCTAGCCACTAGCCACATTTCTAGCACTAACGCTACGACACTTTATGCAGAGCAGAGCACACACATCATATTGCATATAGTGTATAGTGTATATAGTGTCTTCTTAGTCTTGTGTATTCTTAGTTTAGTGAATCTAGTATATTCTTAGTTCATGACTTGGATCCTACTAATGTTCCATCCATCTATCCATTATCTTTTACCTGCTTCTTCCATTTTGGGTCACGGGGGTCGTCGGTGTCCATGTCCAGCAATCACTGTGCGAGTGGCAGGGTACACCCTGGACAGGTCTCCAGTCCATCACAGCTTACTGATGTTTTTCTTTACAATTTGTGTTTTAGTTGGATGTAACTGGGACCCTGCGTACATAGTTTAGTCCCACCTCATGTATCACGTGTGGTGTGTATGACAAATAAATCTCTCTGACTCTGACTTAATGTGTGGGAACAGAATGCTACGGGCTTTAACCATCATGCTCCTTCATTTGTAGGCCTCCAAGGCCAAAGCTGCTCGTGTCAGCACTAACAACCGTTGGCCTCTGGGGGTCGAAGTAGGCCCGCACCGGAGCTGAAGAGATGAGTGACTTGACTTCAGAGAAAGCCTTTTCCTGTTGATGACCCCAGACTCTCTGTCTGTCAGACTTTAACAGTTGATTCACTGGTTGGAGACGTGCAGACAGGTTCAACAAGAAACAATAGAATTAACCATCCCCAGGAACCTTCGTAACTCTTCAACGTTCTTTGGGGCACTTATCTCTGTGATGGCAGCAACTCTTTTTGCATCATTTACACTATCCTGGCCAGGACATGGTGTGAGACATGTTTTTTTTGTTTTTGTTTTTTTCAGCTTCCTCCACCCTCGTGTTCTCTTTTTCTCCTCTGCCTATATGTTGTATGTAACAGGTCTCTCTTGTAAATGACCCTTCGAGACTCAATGGGAACTAACCTGTATAAATAAAGGTCTAATAATAGTTCAATTCAATTCAATTCAGTTTATTTATATAGCACCAAATCACAACAAATTTGTCTCAGGGCACTTTAGAGGAACATTCACAGACATATAAAAGCCAATTAGTAAAGTTCTCTATCTAAGAATAGTAAAAAAAAAACTCTTTCCAGATTTGGCCTAATGCCATCTTTATTTACTATATGGTCTAAAAAAATCCAACATTGACTGAAAGAATGTGCACTTTTCTTTGTTGAGCTTGAGACCGGACTTTTTGATGGACTCCATCACTCTCCTGAGTCTCTTGTCATGCTGCTCTTTTGTTTCCCTGAAAACAAGGATGTCATCCATGTACACTATTACACCCTGTTGCCCTTGTAAAAACTCTGACATTTTCCTTTGAAATGTTTCGGGTGCAGATGTGATGCTGAAAGCAGTCTATTAGTGCAGTAACTTCCTTGTGGGGTGATGAAAGTCATCAACAGGGCGCTGTCCTCTTCCAAGGAGATCTGCCAGCATCTGCTAGCGGTGTCCAGGCTTGAGAAGACCGTGCTCCCTGCAAGCTTGGTAGATCATAAGTAGTACTGTAGGTAGAATAAACTTTTCTCATTCCACACTTTCATTTAGCTTCTTTAAGTCCACACAAATTCTGATTTTGTCATTTTTCTTTACAACCACCACCACTGGTGCGCACCATAGTGTCGGCTGGGTGACGTTTGCTATGATGCCCAGTGACTCCAGTCATTTCAATTCTTCCTCTGCTTTTAATAATGCAGGGACAGGAACATGTCGTGGTGTAGCTAGGCTATAAGGTTTGGCTCCTTCTTTAAGCACGATCCTCACAGGATCTCCCTTTAGGGTGCGCACATCACCAAAAGTATTCATTTCATTTAAGGTAGAACGTTTGAGCAGACCTAGCTTTGAAGCTATGGCTCAGCCCAGACGATTATCTCCACGTGATTTGACTACGACTATCCTGAAGTAGCGATCACCCAGGTTGTTATTCACCTCAGCTCTGATTTTGGCCATGAACTGCCCTCCAGTGGTCACTATGCCTCCTGGGCTGTCAAGTTGTGGTCCTCTGACTGGTTTGAGTTTGGGGTTTTTCTTTAAGCCATCATAAGAAGCTTCTTAGATCACTGAAGTGTCTGCTCCTGAGTCTATTTTAAATGTCACTGGGGTGTTTCCAGTGTTCAGTGTGACGTGCCAAGGTGGCTAATCTTCGGTGATGACCTCGTATGTTTTATCTTCAGTGAGTGAGTGCAGAAAGAATAGCTCTTCATCATTTTCGTTTTCGCACTCATTTAATGTCAGCTCTCGCACACACTTTACGTAACATGCTACTGCAGTGTCCAATTTTTTTGCGTTTATTGCATTTTTTTCCTTTTGCTGGACATTCTGCAGTGTCACTGTGTTCTCTGTTGCATCTTCCACATTTTCTTATGTTCTCATTTTTTTTTGTCTGTGTGGTTTTAGTGCACTGGCATCATATTCCTTCTTTCCTTTCCATTTAAAGGGTTTAACTTCATCCACAGCGCTAGATTGTCCTTGGTTCTGTCCTTTATCATCCTCGTCTCGATCCACTCTCAAACTTTGAAGGATTTGTGAGTACAAACTAAACCATTCCACGTTATTTTTATTTTATTTGCTCAGTGAGTGAACGAGCTGTTTGTTTTTAGCTCCCATGCACCCAAGCATGGATTCAGGCCTGCAATGGGTTGTTTTGGGCTTGAATTGTATGTTTGAAAAGACTTACCTGAAATATTAAGAGTTAATATGGACTGCAATTATTGGTTAAATAACTATAACTAAGAGGAAAGTGCTGTGAAAAGTTTGTTTTATTTTTAATTTGTGAAGCAATTTATTTATTCAAATTACATTTTTTTTTCTAAAAGTGTCTTTTAAAATTAAATTAGGCATCAGTGTCTTATTTTTTAAGGTTTTTTTTTTTTTTGGGGGGGGGGGGGGTGTATTCCAAGGGAGTGTATTTAAAATAAACATCCAGTTATCTGAATTAAATTCTTAGTGGCTCAAACAAGGTATAGATTCATAATTTCCTGCTAAGTGGAGGCACTGCCATTAAATTAATTATAAATAGTAAGTTGTATCTCCTGTAAGCTGTTAGTATGGCAATCAATTAAAATAATGTTCCCAGGCCCCAACCAATGTACCACATTTCAATCTAATCTATTGATTAACTGTTTAAGCTATTTGGTACGGGCCCTACAATTGGAATAAAAATTTCTGCAATCCAACGTTGGTTGAACTTTTGGAGATTGTAATTTAGGTATAATTGCTGGGGTACTGTTTTGTTTCTTTTCAGCAACTTCTGGCATAATTAAAGGTCCTGCTTTGAAGAAATGCATTGAGCCCACCACCTGTCATGCCAGTGTTTTAGTTCATCTTGTGTCGAGAAATAATGAAGGTATAGTTATTTTGTGCAAACTTCCACAACATTATGCTCAACCTCATGTGAAATTTAGCCATTTTGTATAAAATATTTGCGCTTGGTTTGTTGTGAATGACCCTACAAACAAAAATGACTTACTTGAAAGGAATTAAGGATGATGAAGACATAGGCTACTGCCACAGACAGATGGACCAGCAGTCCACAGAGCCAGGTCAGACCTAGGACTGGGAGCAGGATGAGAACCGGACGAGTCACAGCCCTACAAAGAAAGCACATACATGAAACACATGGAGTGTCTTTGAGTTCTGCTTTTAGTGTGTGCAGGTGCACGAGACCAAACCTCACATACTCTAGCATTCAATTTTTGGGTTCTTTGTACCATTCTGGCAAACATTTCAGAGAACATGAACACAAAGCTGTAAAGTTTCAGTGTTGTAAAAAGATTTTATTGAAAGAGGTTTCCTAATTGAATTTTAGTCAAAAAAGTAATCACAGCCACATTTATTCCTGCCTCGCATAGTTACTCCTGCTCTTTTGCAATCATCCTTTCAATACGCCTACTGCTTATACAACCAATAACTGTTTCATAGGGGCATGGCGGAAAAGGTTGTCTTTGTTCAAACCACTATTGTTGTCACTCTGCTGTACCTGGAAAGAGAGATTGAGTTTTTCAACTGCACTGTCTGCAAGGACAAAGCTGAGTCTCTCTCTTTATTTCCCAAAGCCATTTTCCCTCTAAGTTTTGGATTGACGTAACATGGCTTGCATGCACATCAGTCTGAGTTTGAGGGAATGAAGAGAGTGGGAACAACATTGTGGTATTTTCACCAGGTTAAATCAAATACACATCAGCTGAATGATGGAGAACTACTGAAAGACAGACTGAAGGACTTAAAGCTTGAACTGAAAATACCAGAGATGGTAAATTGTCTGTAAAATATTTCCTTTTCATATATCAGATTAAAAACAGAGTAATGTTAGTAATGTTTTTGTAATACATTCGGCACATACTAGAGGTCTAGAGGCAACTTAAAGCAGCAAATCACAAGAGGCCAACTGGTAGTTTGTTTCTTAATTGTTTTATTAGAAGACTAAGACTTGCAGTATAAGACAGACTAAGACATATTTGTTTACCGACTGATCATTAAGAGGCAGAACACAAATCTGCTAGAAGACAACACAAACACTTATGATAGAGGAGAGGGTTAAAAAAGGAGCTATGTGTTCTACACACACAAGTGTTCTGAGACCAGGTGTTAAGTTGATAAGCCCCTGTGACTCCCACGTTGAACTCCCAGTCTCACACACTGTCTCTATTGACTGGAAGCTGCTCCAGCACAATGAAAGGAGTAAACCATGTGTTTGACTGTGAGTGAGAGGGAAAGAGGAAGTTAGAGACGGAGAGGGAGAGAGAGTGTGGATGCTTGGCAGAAAAAAATCCTTCATGAAAGAGAGCATACAAAAAGAATGAAGGGAGAGGAGTGACAGAGAGAGGTAAACATGTTATTGTATCTCACCAGGTGATATCAAAGGTCTGCATCTTTGATGCTGAGCTTGGACTGAGCATCTTAGCACGCCGATGAGCACTGGAAACGGTCACCATGACAACACGGCACAATACGACTGCGTTGACCTGAAGGCAGAGGACAACAGCATCAACATGGCCTCCAGCAAACACGAGACGTGTGGCAGCAAAAGCACTTGGCCTCGAGCTCACGTGAAGAGTTTCCCTCCAGCTCAAACTGCAAGAAAAACAACTCACAGTCAGTCTCATTTGGAGAGAAACATCCCTGCAATCTTCATGAAACAGATACAACTGTGAGCTTTGGTGGCATTTTGTGTTAATCAGAAATTTGATATTTTTAAGAGACATGTCACTCATTTAAGAGGTATCCAGTTTTGTAAATGGCTCTTTTTATTTGTTTTTTCCCCTCTACCTGCTTAAAAAAAACTTAATTACCCATGACAAGTCATGAGGTGACGAGAACATTCACGTAACATACAAATAATACGTTTAGCTGATCAACAAATTTAATAATACTCATTAGCATGATCACAACAAGTTACTACATGCAGGGAGTACTGGAATAATTAAACCCAAACATGCTAAGTGCACGGAATATGTTTCCAAACAAACAACATGACAGCTGACACAAACCAATTCCTGCTGTATATATACAGTGTAGTGAACTCGGCCTCCGGTCAAAACCTGCCTCTGAAGACCTTCATGGGACAGGAACTGTTATTTCATTGATTTGAATCCAGAAATACAAATTAGCTCATCCAGAGACTTTCTAATTGTATCCTGAACTAATCAATTAAAAGAACACTCTCTTTTTATATCATCGTTACTATTTTACAATATTTTGATAATCAAAAGTGTGTTTAGTTCATACCATTTTTAAATGTTGAAGTGAACCACTCATTTTAAATCAACTGTGAAACAGTAGTAATGATTTTTTTAATCCTCATTCAAAGTAGAAATCAAGTTAAATGTCTATGTTACAAAGTAATTATGCATTTTTGATCTTCTGTCTGAAATGAGAAAGGAGTGATGTCGGTCAAAAGTCGGAGACAGTCAAACACAAGTTATTGGGATGAACTGTCGTGTTTTTAAACCTCTCAGACAGAAACAAGAAAACTGGCACCTGTAAGTCTGTCATTTCTCCAAAATATTTTCTCTTCTGTAACTAACCGTTCCTAAACATTTCTGATGTTTTCTCGACTTGTAATGACCCTCTGACGTCACTAAAACCACACCCGTGTTGGTTCTTTCAACCAATCAGGACTTCCTAAAAGTGACCGGAAGCAGAACTCTTTAAAAGTCGACACTTCCTAGTTCCAGTTAGTTCTGAAGGAAGAGTTCTGGAGAAAGTGCTGAAGTGTTCTGGAGTTAGTTAAGGAGTGAGTTGGTTCCGTTAGTTCTTCTGGTTCTGATGGAGTTCTTCTGGTTCTGATGGAGTTCTTCGGGTTCTGATGGAGCTCTTCTGGTTCAGAGCCACGACGCCTTGCTGTGGCTCCACCCGGCGAATGCCCTATAACTGCTGAGGAAGTTTGTTCTGTGGAACGGATTATCTCACGACTTCTGCCGAGTCGCAGCCGCCCTGAGGAGACGCTGAAAGGTAGCGTGCCAGGGACCTCTTGACCACAGCTGATTCATCCTCTGCCAAGGTAAAGAGTCGTGACGAGCTTCACTACCAGTGTACCGCGGGCGAACTGCGCTTGAAAGGTGCGTGTTGTTCTGGTCTACAGACATACATCCTTATCCATCCATTTTCTCTCCATTCAAACTCCTTCCTTTCCCATCTTTAAACTTCTATCTTGCCAGTAATTAATCCAGATATC